TTTACAATCCCCCGGCACCTGGCCAGATGACCACGAATGCTCATACAGCCGGGCCAAGGGCTCCGCAATGACCCGTGCCAGCTCCCTCAACACCCTTGGGTGGAGGGCATCTGGACCTGCAGGTTTAAAAATGTCTAGCCCTTCCAGAAGATCCCTAACTACATCTGCACTGACTGAAGGCTTGATAGAGCTATCCCCAAGATTGTCCCTACCTCTGGTAGGTGGGATATCCCGGTCCCTGTTCAGGAAAACAGAGGCAAAGAAACTGTTAAAAATATCAGCTTTCTTGTCTGGCGTGGCCACCAGATTACCATTTATGTCTTGCAGGGGCCCTTCATTGCCTGGAGCCCTCTTCTTGCTCCCAGTGTACTTGAAAAAGGACTTTTTGTTGTCCTTAATCCTGGACAGTAGCCTGAGTTCCATCTCTGCCTTTGTCTTTCTAATAGCCCTCCTACACTCCCGGGTCGAAGAGGATTACTCCTCCTTGGTGATAGCTCCTCCCTTCCACTGGTTGTATGCCTCCCTTTTAGTCCTGAGGCATTGCTGAATGCCCTTGCTGAGCCAAGGGGGTTTCTGAGCACCCTTATCCGCCTTGCTTCTCTCAGGGACTGTTATCCTTTGGGCCTGGAGGATCGCCCCCGTAAGGTATGACCATCCCTCATGGGCTCCCATCTTCTCTACCTTCTGGGCCCTCTGTGCCTCCCACACTAGTCTCCTAAGCTCATTGAAGTTGGCCCTTCTGAAGTCAAGGGCTTTAGCCTTGGTGTGAGCCCTAGGCGCCCTGTGTTGGATAGTGAAATCCAGCAGGTGATGATCGCTATTGCCCAGCTGGTCAAGAACCTGCAATTCCCTCACCAGGTCATCCCCTGTGGCCAGGACCAGGTCCAGGAAGGCGTTACCCATACTGGGGCTGTGCACTTCCTGGATAAGGTGAAGCTTCTGTAATACAGCCAGGAACCTACGCAAGCGGTCAGACCTGGCTGTCTGCTCCTTCCAGCAAATGTCCGGGTAGTTTAGGTTACCCATGACAATAACATCCCTTGACCTAACCGCCTCCATAAGCTGACTGGAGAAGTCCTGGTCTAGTTCTTCCCCCTGGTTGGGTGGTCTGTAGTAGACACCCACCGTAAGGTCCCTTTCACCACACCCCCCTTGTAGTTTGACCCATAGTGTCTCTGCCCAACCCTCCTCTAACCTGAAGCTAATCCTTGATGATGTGAGGTGCTCTTTGTCGCACAACCCCCCCACCTTTCTTCTCTGTCCTGTCTCTTCTATATAGGGTGTACCCCTGAATGCCCACCGCCCAGTCGTAGGTAGGGTCCCACCAGGTTTCTGTGAGCCCTATTAAATCTGGGTTCTTACTTGCAATCAAGAGGCACAGTTCCTCCTGCTTACTCCCCATACTGTGAGCATTAGTGTAGAGGCACCTGAGGCCTCCTGAGGGTGCTCGTGCCTTCCTCCCACTCCCAGGACAGTTGTGGGCCCCTGCTCCTCGGGTCTCACACTTTCTCTCTCCCTGCGCTTGCCTGTTCGGGGCGGTGGCTCCGTTGCCTCTGATTGGGGCTCTCACGCCAGCTCCCTCGACCCTACCGGGCTACTCCAGCTTGGGGTTCCCCACCACTGCTGCCATCGCTACCGCAGCTGGCATCCCTGCTGGTTTTCCTGCCAGCGTCTTCAATCCCCGCCCGTCCCCAGCTTGGGGATCCTCTGCCACTCCCGCTGTTTCCGCTGTCACAGCAGCCACTGCTGCTGCCTTTGCCAGCCTCTCTGCCGGCGTCCCCAATCCCCGCCGGTCCTCTCCGGCTCGGGGATCCTCTGCCGCTCCCCCTGCTTCCTCCACCGCAGCAGCCACTGCTGCTGCCTTTGACAGTGTCTCTGCCAGTGTCTTTGATCCCCACCGGTCTTCTCCGGCTCGGGGATCCTCTGCAGACCTCGCTGCTTCCACCACCGCTGCCTCTGTTGCCACTGTCGGCTGCCGGCCGCAGCGGCTGGACGCCTTCTGCCCGTTGTTTCTCCACCGGTTCTCTGGTCCTCGGAGTCCTCCCACACTTTCGCGGCTCCCTTTCATGTCCGCCGGGTGGCGTCTCCTCATGACGTCACCCAGCCCCAGCTGTACATGGGCGCAGCTTACAAACCACGTGGGCAGTTTCTCGCCACGTGTTTCCTTGCTCCTCCCGGCTCCTGAAACAAGTAAGTTGTTTTCTTCCTTTTTTTCTTCGGTCAGGGGTTTGCCTCTGGGCGAGGCTTCCCCCTTTTCCGGTTCTGTGCTCCTGGCACACCTCCCTTCCAAATTTGTGAAGTCTGTTGTTGGTGCCAAGTTATACAAAGATGACCAAAAGGTCACTGGAATCCATGCAATAGTCTGCAGGGGGGTGGCCCTCAGTTTTGGTACAAAGCACAGGTGTGGGCAAAAGAGAAGGATTCCATACAGGAGTCACTCCCTGGACATCTTCAATCAACTCCTCTGATTAAAAGTGCTTCTCAGCACACTGTAGTGGGTCTAGGTCAGGGGTGGGTAATTATTTCAGCTGGAGGACCACTTAATGAGTTTTGGTGAGCTGTTCAGGGCTGCAAGGGTAGCCCTGCCCCTTAACAGGTGCCCCTGGAAGTCCGGCCCCTAACTCCTGACCTTTGCCACCAGAAGTACTCCTTGCTGTGGGGGAGGATTGTGATCTTGGAAGCGGAAAAAAACCAAATCATATACTAAAAATCAAACATTTACTATAACATATTTTAATTTTCTTTCAAAAAATACTTTGTCATGGTTTATATGTGTTTGTGTAGTGTATATAGAGGTGATTGCATAATAGCTCAAAAATAAAGTCTTGCTTTTGTATATTGTGTGCATGTGTGTTGGGGTGTATGTGTGTGGGTGGATGTGGGGTCTGTGGGGTTGGGGGTGGGCGTGGGTTTGTGGAGGGGTGTGGCTGTGTGTGTGGGGGATGTGTGGGCAGGATGGGGGAGGTGGTGTGAAGGAGGGCTGCTTCATCGTGTGGGGCTCCTCACCGTTTCTGGTGGAGTCCCAGGAGCTGCACATGGCAGCAGGGAGTAGCAAAGGCCATCAGCTCCAGTGTGTGGGGCTTCTCACCCTAGTGGCGCGTGAGTCCCAGGAGCTGCATGTGAGCCACGGGGAGCCCAGCACAATGGAACCAGATTGACCTGGGCTCTGTGCTCTCACCACCTTGCTCCATGCTCTTGCCCAGCTGCAGCTTCTTCCTGCCCCCCTGCCCCCGGGCGCTTCTCTATCTGCTGCCTGGAGTGCTGCAGCAGGGACATGAGGAGAAGCTGGGGGAGCCAAGCAGTTTCCCCAGCAGCAGTAGCAGCAGCGGCCCCACCCAAAAGCCATTTGCTGGCTAAGGCCGGGGCTCTCCCTGGCAGGAAGGTCGGGGTGTGGCACGCTGCCTCAGCAGCAGTGGACAGAGCTTGGGCCCCATGTGAGTGCAGCAGGGACAGCCATGGGCCAGGTAGGATACAATTACTTGGTGGGTGCCTGCCTGTGGAATGGATGAAATCTGGTGGGCTAGATCTGGCCCACAGGCTGTATTTTGCCTGCCCCTGGTCTAGGTGATTCATTAGTAAAAACAGCTGAAAAAAATCCCAGAGCATATCACTGATACAGGCAGAGCCTAAAAGATCTGAGGTTCCATGGCAATCTGAAGCAGACCAGCAAAAAACCCTGGCAGGGCAAAGCTTTGATGCTTACCCCAGGTGGTGTGGAGGAATGACCGAGGAGACCCCTGGCAGCATGGAGGAGCAATGGAGACCCCTGGCGGCATGACAGAGATGTATTTAAGTAGACGGAATGTTGCTGGTTAAAATGTGTAACCGGTCCTGATTAATTCAACAGAATATCAGACATATTTGCAA